ATAGATGTCAGCAGGACATTTTTCCATACAAGTGATGTCAGTATCATGCCCTGATCCGTTTACTCGGCCAGTAAAAGCCAGACATATTACAAGTTAAAGTGCTTGGTTATGAAGAAATACAGCCTTTCCTCTGCAATGCTTTGCAGTCTCCCACAACAAAGGCAGCTGGTAAATGTAATGATATCAGTATGGCCACGTGGCCTTTTTATCCATCACCAGAGGCAGATAACCACACAAGGAAACCAAAGCTATGTCCATTAATGTATCTGGGCACGAAGCCAACAGAACACAGATCCATGAATTTAGAGAAATCCAGGTGGACCTGACACTGGTCTAGCTTGACCTTTTCAATAACAAAGAGGATCTGAGACATCATTACAGCTGGTATGGCAACAGTCCTAGCTTTCTTACTACGTGCCTACCTTTTTGTCAGTTTGTTTGTTAGTGTTATCTTGCTGTTTACCACTGGTCTTCATTTGGCATTTGGTTCCATTTTGCCATGCAGAGCCACTCCAGCTAACTCAAGGCTTTGTACATTTCTCTGTACCTAGCCAAGAAACTCCACCAGCACACACAGTACCTGTACCTCCATTTATTTTCCAGCTCTTCCTTTGCAGACAGCCATCACAACCAAAGTGAAGCAAGAAGGAAACAGCACCACCAGTGAACTTGCAAGAATCATGTGAATCTGGAGAAAAAAGGCTGCTTGTGTTAGGCTAACTGCTGGTGTGTATGTATGGAAGGGATGGAAAGACTGAGAATTTCCGTGAGAAGGAATGAAGCCTGCAAAATAAGAGTAGCAGATTGACTGTTCTACCACAAAAGTGCTTTAAGATACCAAGTTCAAGGCTTGCACAGACTATTTCAATAATGCCTCTGACAGGTCTCCATCTTCCTTCGACTTAAAGAGGCATGCTTCAGGCTTTACAACTTCACTTGAATGAGTTTATGAAGTGAGAGAATTCAGACAAAATTCTTGCCCATATGAATCAAAGGGGATGGAGGAGGCAAAGGGGTGAAGAACAGCGTTATAAACTTACTTCAGCTATTTCTTAGGCTGCTTGGTAACATCTGCTCATGGTACAACACCTTATGGTACCCTTCCCATTTCAGTGTTTCTGTTTACAGGGGCAAAGGGAACATATTAAAGTGAAGAGATGCATGCAGAGGCAGACAGGGTGAATCAGGATGTAACAGTGGAAAGCAGTGGAAATTGAAGACAATATGAGAACAATTTCAAATCTCATCAGAAATGGAAATGGTGTTAATTTGCTGGTAAATAGTCTGCAGAAGGAAGAAGCAGGTAGGGGCAAAAAGGAAAAGCTACCAAAAATGGGCTGAAACATCTGCACCAATCACAGAATATTAGTACTAATGTCAAAGGGATATTTTTCCTCCTTTGCAGGACAGAATCTCAGCATCTTCTCCTACAGCTGTGTTCTAAAAGGGTCAAACAGCATAGAGCTTCCCTATCTGAAATTATACAAAGCTTCTAAAAAACAACTGAAGCAATGAAGTATTTTACACACTCAGCAGACCAACATTTTTTAAATTACTTTTTGGTGTTAAAAGAGTTTGTTGTCAGTTCCTGCCTGCACAGAGCCTCATAGCAGCTCACAAATTGTCTTAACTGCTATCCCTTTTGTCTGACTGGTGCTCCATTTCCTGAGAAACTGCAAATGAAGTTTCATGCCATTTATTATCTTTCCTTCTTTAAAATGCTGTATATTCATAACTCGTTGTCCTTAGCACACCATTATTTACCGTGGTTCACATGTGTAAATCGAACTAATTGTATTAATACATAGATGTAATAGCAAATAATCTTGTAAAATGTCTGATGGTGTGAGGTAGTGATTACTTCTAATGACATTTTATAGCATAACATTTCTTACATTAATATTATAACTTGGCAATCCATGGTGTGTATTTAAACTTTTTTTTTTTTCTACAGCACAACTTGTATTTTGATTATGACAAGGCTTTAAGGATGCCTGACTTTCTATCTCTGAATAAAAATTAATTTATTTTAATCTGTCCTTTTCAACGTTCTCAGGTTCTGTGCAGTTCAAACTGAAACCCAGCTAGAATCAAAAGGATTTCCTCGACAGTGGGAAACTGCCTGAGAACATATAGCCCTGACCTGCCAGTAATGCATATGGCATGTACTCTGGCATTGCAAATGGTGCAGAATACATCAGGAATGATATGAACAGGCCCCATTTAACACAGCTTAACCCTTAAATCCAGTCCAAAAGGCACACACTTGGTCCACATAAAGCCTTCACCCAGGTAACCAGTTTTGCAAGACCTGCCTATGAACACTTGATATTGCATGCCTAAAAACTTGACCCCTCTGGCAAGACTAACCGGAGTAGTTAATTGATCTCTCATGATTCGTAAAAATCTCTTCTTCAAGATGTGTCCTTACCAAAAGCTATTAATGCTGCTAATGGCAGACTGAGAGGATGCAAAATAATCCTGGAGTCTGTATTAAGAATATGTAACACAACAAAACCTGTCCCTATTCACATCTGCTTTTGAGTCAAGATCAATACAGAACAGCTGACAGGAAAAGAAAGGTATAGATGAACGAGTTCTGACATGGAGATCATCTTTCACCAGAATTTTTACTGTGCTGGCCAACAGCTGGAGGCATTGAGCTATGGGACATCCTGACAGGGAATGCTGCATCTGTGAGAAACCATTTAATTTCAGGCTGGGTGGAAAGGGAAGAGAAGCATCTTCCTTAGAGAAACTAGACTGTATCATTACTTGTCTAGAAGACAGCAAAGTCTCAAAAACTCAGGGCTCTTCTGTCAGCATTTGTTCTCCCACATCTTTTCTTTTTAGACTTGAACCAGGAAGAACTCAGTAAAAGGTTATTAAATCTTGACAAGGCAACAAATTATTTTAGATAAATGTTACTTATGATCAGCGACAACTGATGGACAGCTTCGCCTGACAGCTTATGGGCTTTAACAAAATAAGCACAATAGGAATTGCATGACAGATATATAGGAGTTGATTATTTGAAAAAAAAAAAAAAATCAACATACTCAGATATCTTCCTCCTCCCATGGAATCTACACTTCGTATTTCTGTTTAGCTGTTACTTTCATTTATGAGTTACAAAGCATTTATCTTGAATAGTACAGATGTTTAGTGAACAGAATGATTCATCTCTTCCTCTCTACTTTCTAAGTAGGACAAAAAGATGCCTTGAGTAAGTGTGTGCTAGGACAGAAACACGTCTGTCATTAAGTTGTTGCTTCCCAGATAATAACTACCCATTAAGAGAAAAATTTGGGAAGATTGCTGCCAACAGAACTCACACAGAGTGATGCTCTCTAAAATCATTGTACTCTAATGACTCTCACGGCTTGTTTCTTTTCCTCTCTCCCCAAAAGTCACAGTACATACAAAAGACCTGTTCCTTTTGAAAACCAGTGACACAGCCTCATTGCCTTGCATATGTGGGAAGTAAAAGTCTGAATGAGTTTCACAAGCGAACCTCATAAACACTTCTACTGATTTCAGGAGATGTAAGAGAGAAAAGTTTTGGATTGGAAAGATTGAACAAAAGTGTATATCACCCTAGGGGATGAAGAATACCTAAGATAAGGTATATTCTTATTGACACTATATACCACAACTGGAAAAAGCATAATAACATCAGAATTTACAACCCTTGATTTTTGAGATTTTAACCTCAAAATTCTATTAAGATAATACTTCAAACATCATAGAGTTTGCAGAGAGTATTCGAACTGAATTCTAAGTACATGCTCTATTTAATGCTTATGAATTTCATTACCACGCAGTGTGTTTGCTGACACATAATGGAAGTGAAGTTGCTTAAATTAAGCATCTGTTACATTCAATCCTAGTTTTAGTTATATATATGGCATGAATATTTGTGTGGTTTTATAGGAAAAACTAAGCAGGTAGAAATTCTGGCAAACTTTTCAAGACTGCCAAAGAAATGGTCACACATATTTGCAAAGGATATCTACAGCTGCAGTTCTGTCTGTGCTAGTGCACTTCAACTATGGCACTAACAGGACCACAAATTTGCACGTTGAATAAAAGTTGCCTGTCTCCTGTCCTTGCTGGTTCATGTCTATTTTCCATGTGACAGCTTTGTCGTTCTGTCTCCACCTCATTCTTCACTTGGAGAAAGGCAATGACATGAAGAACCCCAGGGACATTAGAATGCTCCATAAACATGATTAGAGCACTCAGCCTCCTCATTTAAAGCAAGTACCATATTGCTACCAACATCTGCTTTGGGCTGTAAAGGGGCCCTTAAACAAACCACCCATCCTGAATGAGCAGAGTCCAGTAACATCTGTTGATTGTGCTCGCATATTTGGCAGCTACAGACATGGCATCTCATACTTATTGCCAGTTATACTGTTGTGCTGGTAATCAAATGGATTCCTTCAGGAGAGAAAAGTTATTCACCTGAAGCCTGAGTTCTCAGAGATGAGCCCATATCACACTGGGTTGCGCAGTTCAGTTGAGCCAGCAAACTCATAGTACAGCTATGTGGACTCCGTAACTGGTAATAACACAAAGATCATCTAAACACCACCACTGAGAAGTCTGTATCTGTACTGTTTCCACATAGGAACATGAAATAACCCACAGTTCAATTGCTTTTTGCACTTGAAATTATTTTTTCTATTGAACATCACTTTCTCAAGAACAGTAGAGTACCTACAGCTAATTGCTCACTTGTGAAAAAATTAACCACCAAAAATAGTGTCACATTCTTGTGGGGAATGGACTGATCAATAATCAGTGGACTGAATGATGGTTTCCAACATGGAACTGAGAGGTGCTGAAAGGCACAATAGGATTTTAGCATATTTCTATCATAAATAGAGTTGCATGGAAATGTTGGTTATGGCAACATTCTCTATGTGAGTCACCAAACAATCTTTATGGCTGCAAAAAAAAGGGCCATTCTTTATCTCCATTAGTAATGGTATTACCTGTTGAACATCCTGCTGGAAAACACAGAGCTGCAGCCTTTGATGTAGTCGGACCTTTCTGTGTTGCCAGATGCTCTCTAGGCGCCGCTGATGATGCAGGACTTCATGTACCACATCCAACACCTGGTGAACAGCCTTGGAGTAGTTTGCAGTAGCAGTGAGGGACTCAGAATTCCCAGGGCTCAAGGGACGCTGTAGGACATCCAGCAAGGCTTTTCCATCCTGGCTCACCTAAACGAAGAAATAGGTCTACTTCACTGCACTGATACTTAAAACATCCAATAGCTAACAGAGAACAGTCTAGCTGATTCTTTTTCCCCTGTGTTTCTTCCTTATTTTAGTCGAAAAGGAAGCAAGACCTCATAACATCTCTTTTTGACTTGTACTTAGGCATTCAGCACTTGCCTTCACTTCCTAGTGTGCCTGCTGTGTCACTCAACAGGAGCACAGATACCCCACTGCTGGGACCGCATACATACAGACAGAGATCCCAAGACTATATTACGTTCTGACACTTGGGCACTGAAAATTCTTAACATATACTAGTTGATGACAGGTGGCATTTGCAATAGCGGGCCTCTTTTCGTGAGGAGGTGGCATTTTAAGAAAACCACAGATGGCAGAGTCATTCATATTCTATACAATCAGGGAGAGTCCTTTCTTCATAATATACTAACTATGGATATATGTTAAGAAGTGTAACATTCCAATTCTGTATTTCATTCAGTGACAGTGAAAAATAAATTAGTTTATGACAGTGATTCTTTTCTTCCCCAGGAACAGCTCAGAGGGACCCATAGTCTCCATTTGCAATGGGCTACAGAGTTTGCTAGCAAATGCAAAGCCTTCTGCACACATGTAACCTTTTTTGAGCATATTAGAATACATTTTCAGATGCAAAGGCATTTGGGCATTAAAAAAACTCAGAATGCCAGATTTTTTAATGCCAGATTTTTTCCTGGAACACTCTCATATTGCAGGGGCAAAACGAAAAATGGAACCATAAAACCCAAACTGCTATTAACAAGCGTGTGCATGCACTGTTTCTCTAAAAATGGCTTTTTGAAATATTTTTCAGTTGCAGATTGCAAAGTTAAAATAATTAGTATAACAGAAATGCTAAATGAGGACACTATGGGCATCCCTCTCCTCTTCCCAGCCACTTTTCTCTTTTCCCTCTGAAACAAACTGCAGCGAAAATGACAAGATTTTCTGAAAAGTCTTTTTATTTCTCTGCAATCACAATCACCAACTTTGCTAGAGAATAGCTTAATCAATGTTCTTCATTCAGTTTGAACTTTCAACATTATCAGTCAAAGCTAAAACACATCTCAAGGATTTCCAAGTCTAATTTATTTCAGTATTATAAATTGCTTGTTCAAATGTAGCAGATATCCTTTAATACCCAAACCTGTGTCTTTTGGCAAGCCATGCCACATCCCAGTCTGTTGTAGCAGTATATATCTGATGCATTTTCAAAGAATGCAAGACACCCTTTGAGATTTATACTGGCAAAAGTGGGAGTCAACTCTCATCATATTATGTGACTACTAGGTGGGCTTAGGCACATCCTTGGAGATTTTTTAAATATTCAGGGCAATTTGGAATTAGATCAGGAAATAATTGGAGAGTCCACAGGGAGTGGCTTTCCATACTCAAATTCAGTTGCTGCTGAAGACCAGCTGGAACAATATGCACATGCTGGAGCCTGCTGGGGTCACAGAGGGAATGATTGTAGTTGCCAATAGCAGTGGATTGTGGGGAGATTTTAGGATGAAGCACTGAGGCACAGGTGTTACCTTGGCAACATTATGGAGGGAGGAATAGCTGCTAGGCAGGAAGAAGCAGCTTCTAGACAGGGAAGGAGACAAGGCTTACTACATCGTATTTTATCTGTGGGAAGACAATCAGCAACAATTTAATCACTGGCAACAGGAAACACCAAGGCTATGCACACACTTAGGAGCAGATTATTAGACCAGAAAATCTCTCTTTGCTAAATTCACTGTGTGAATTCACTATGTCCCTGTTACTGGCCTTTAGGCTTACAGTTGGTCTGAATCTGTCCCTGGGTGGTCTTACAACGCTTTTAGTGTAGCCCCTGCTGATTTACACCAATAGAAATCACAGCAGAATCAGGACTAACAACAAAGGTTTGAAAGTTTACCTGTAGGAGAAATGGGATTACGCAGGCAATACTGCTGACATGCTTTACTCAGGAAAACTTTCCTGGAAACTTCATCCCATAATACAGACCTATTCATGCCTACACCATGTCCCAAGTGCAGGCCTTGCATGTCAGTTTTTTGCCTCCCAGAGGTATAGTCCTGCAGTTCTTCCATTTTGAGGGATCAGATCCTTGGGTGAAATATTCTGTATACTAATCACGGCTGATCAAAACACCAGAATATATTCAGTCATCTTACAAAAAAGGCGTTCTTCCAGAGCTGACTAGTGGGTGAATAAGGCCAACAAGGCCTTTACAATAAAAAGTCTCAGTGGCAGAAGCAAGGCAGAACAAAAAGATTGTTTCAAAGGCAACAGTTTATATACCCCTGCCTCATCCAAAGGTGAGACGACACAATGTTCTCCCAGATGCATAGTGTGAGTGAGAGTATACTTTTACATTCTCTCTTACTCCTTTTTCTTCTATAGGATTTAGACTTTTATCGATTGCAATTTTTTTTCCTGTTGTCTGTTTACAAAGGCTCAGAGTTATGATTTTTCCCTGATGGGCATAGCCTCCCAGTTATTCTCTACACAGCCAGAGATGAATGCCAGACTTCAAGTGTTTGTGTCATCCTGCTAATAATCATTAACACAAATCAAAGGCTATTAGAAGTGTTCTCCTGCTCTCCAATTTACCTACTTGTTCAGTCACACTGGACTAAATATCAGGCAAGCAGCACAGTGACAATCAGGTAATCAGTGGTAGTCAGAATTCACTAGGATTTCATGCATATTCCATGATTTCATATCTTCTGCAGCTCTCAAATTCTTTGGCTTAAAAAGTTTATTTTCCAAAAGTATTTTTGTTGTGAATATTGCTGCATTCCCAATCAATGGGTACAGGTTTGTGCTGTCAGCGTTCACCAGTGAACAGATTTCAGAAAGGAAGGGAACAGCTTCACAAATGGAGAAGCTACCTACTGTGCTCTTTCAGTCATTTCCATGTTCTTCTTCCAACTGCAAAAATAAATCACCAAATCTCTTTTCATCAGAATCTTTTGAATTTTTCAAGGCCTGTGCAAGGAGACAAGCATCAACAACCCAGCTTAGTTGCACCACTTATGTCTCACTTATGCTGTATTTTTAAGAAGTACAGCAAAACTCTTAAACTGAACAGACCTGCATGCAGCACAATTTCATTTCTGTATGAGGTTTGTCCCTCAGATTGTCCTGTTGTGCCCTTACAAGCAGATTGCTGGGATTCACCTCCTACAGCCTGGCATTAGATCTGACTCCTTCTTGGAAAAAGTTGCAGAAGTTGAAAGCAGAACTTAAGTCATTTAGAAAAGCTAAGGTCCAAAATGCAGTTAAATATGTGTTATCACTTAAGAGCTACCAACATTCTTCTCTGGGAAGCACATACCTCTGTGTAGGCCTGTGTTACTTGTTCATACAGGGTCTGATGGTGATGGATGGCCAGTTCCAGGTCTTGCATTTCTGAGGGAAGGCCTCCTTCACTGCACATTTTGCACCAGGCATCCACACCTGAAAGGAACTGAAACAATTCCAGGAACAATGAGCAACAGCAACACAGAAAACTTTGTAGAGTGCCACATATGACTGCAGCAACAAGGGAGAAAAATGTAACCGTTACAAAGCAGTCCTTTTGGGCACCCTGGAAGAGCACATTCCTGTCACCTCCTCAGTACTTGAAGAAGACCTAGATCGAAAGGAATGTTTTCTGTTTCTTCTAGATTAAAAACAAATGCTCCTTTAACCAGCCTCAGAAAGCACCCATTCTAAGAGCCTCTGCATACCATGCAGGGAGGCTACAACACTGCATTCCAAAAAGGGAAGCTGCAACATGTTTTGAAAAAAACATCAGTGCAAAGCACAAAAGGACACAGTACAGCTCCAGCTATATTTAGCATTGTGTCACCTGCCACTCTTCCCTCAGTTGCTTACCTGTCCTTAAACACTACTAATTTGAGCAACAGAAAACTCTCATTAAAATCAGTTTTGACATTCATTTCAGTGAAAGGCAGACAGTCTGTATTCAAGCAGTTCCCAACCCATGGCCAGCTCAATGGGATTGCTAATAGGATACCAAGGCTTTAAACCCCTGGGTCACACATTTGATTCCAGCCCAGGTCAGCAGCGATCAAATACCATCACCATCTGACAGCCATTAAGCAGCCAACACAGAATGAGCTGCTAGTCTCAGTCCAGTTCCTGGTGGGCAACACCCACAAAAAGAGAAAAAAAACATTGCCATTGTGTCGTGGTTTAAGCACAGACTGC